AATGCACAGAGCCATTAGGTAGAGTAGGTGTCTCTCGCCTTCCAGGTTGGGGTCCGAAAGTCTCAACTGGTTGTTTGGAGACATTGAAGGATATGGTAGCGAACCGGCAGCAGTGGCGTTCTCGTTGTCGTTTCTTATTAGGTCAGAATGCTTGAAACGGTATGTATGCAGAGTTCGATTGCGTACTCTGTGTTGACCATAGTAGCTCACCTTCTTCTCCCTCTCTCAAAATAGATCCAACCCCTGTCCACCTTAAATTTTACCACTAACCTTGTAAGCATTGCGAGTTTGGCAGCAATCACTGAAGTTCGCTTCACTGTATTTCGCTGAACGATGATGATGACATTAGTCAGCACAAAAATTCGGTCCGTTTCCAAAATGTCGGCTTCAATTAGTGTTCACCGTTCAAGAATTCATATGAACACTGATGTAGTTTGTGTAGAATAACCCTGGCTGGATAACGGCATACGTGACATTAGTGTCGATGGACGATTTTCAAGCTGACCGACAGGATTGTGGAACCAGAGGAAAGAAGACTGGGGGGACTTTATAATATAATTCAACGAGTTTTAGTGTGACAAGCCCTATTTTATTTTTCAGTGCTGCTCGAAGGGTATTGGATGCCTAACCGTGCAATGACATCCAAGACGTTCCCGTTTTACTCACCTTACTGTACACACACATCGTATGCCAATCTTCGGTTCATTTCTACCTCTCATAACCCTGCTTTTAAATGTTAATCAACATATAATTATTGGGAAATATAACTATACCATTATGTATTCTCTTTTATCATGCGGTAGGACAGACCTTAGTTACTCGCCAACAAGAGTTAACTCCATACTGGACATAGTAATCAGCAACCACTCAGCCCTGTTTTCATTAGTACTAAAAGCCCCAACTTCCACCACAGATCACTGTTTACCCTTAGTTCGACTTAGGATTTCACAGAAGCTTCCGTATGGTTTCCATGTTTTCTATTCACGTCTCCCTATTTACCCAAACANCAATAAATGCCGTTTAAAATTAAAGTTGCCCCGCTAGAAGTTTGTAAGCGTTCAACGGAGGGATAACGTCTCCACCACGAAATTCGCTGCGAAGAGACGAGAAACGTGCATACAAGTTCTATAATACTTCAGCTGCCATGTTCGTATCCAGGCTTATTTAAAGCTGAAATAAACAGATCAGAAGCACTATTTTCCGACCAATTCTTAGGACCAGAAACACCAGGCACCTGTGGTAATGCATCATAATGCTCCGTGGAAAGAAAGTACGGTTGAAGCTGAATTTCGATACTGATGACCCAAATGCCGCATTCCTACACCAGTAGTCCTACATTCTTACTACCTACTCAACACAATATTTGTAACGTGGAACCACTTTTGAAATTGCGATGAGTTTAAACTACTAAACAGTTGTAATTCGGCCTTTTTTTGCAGGCCTGGACGATGCTGCTTCCCTGGTTGAGGAAATCATCTCCGAGGATCACTTCACACTTCTATCAGCCCAGACTGTTGGAAGTCGATCACCAATACCAATCCCCAAGCACTGAAATCAATTGTTTCACAGCGTTAACATCTGCCCTTAAGTTGACTGAAAAGGTTATCCTTAATTGGCCTCAGCAGTCCATAAACATAATCCATGATCAATCACTAAGTCTGAACAACTCTATTAGGTCTGTTCAATGTGTTTTCCCTTGACTACCCTCAACATTCCGTTTCTCGATCAAAGTAGTTACAAAACCTGGAGTAGTTTGAGTGCCCCGAGCAATTTTAGATTGGTTATCCAACTACTTAACTGATGAAGAACAGAACCAGCAGACTTTCAAAGAAATCATATAAACTTTGTCAACAGCTCCGGAGTTCTTTCGAGGAGTTGTGCTGTCCCTACACTGATTTTCACGTACATTTGTGGTCGGGGTAGGTGTCTGGGATTGTGACTGGTCACTGTTTCCTTACACCTCGCGAAATGCTCCATACGACCAAGCGTCTCAACTAGCCTATGCTAAGGAAGCCCTACTCACTGGCTTCGCGTGGCTGAGGTATTTTCCCACCAAAGTGAGAGGACAAAAAGGGAACATACGGGATACAACCAGGTCGGTGAGCTCCTGGAAGGGCACCTAAAGGAGTTTGCTAGAAACCCTGGTTGCAAAACAACCAGGCTCCGGTTGAGAATACCTTGAAAAAATCACCTGCGTTGGTCTGGGTAGTCTAGAAAATAATGGACCTTTTACGTTTGATATTTCTGTCGAATGGAGACGCGAGTCTAAGATCCTAGTACTGTAAGCCACCTAAGTGCACCGTAGTCTTTGAAGTGCTTTCTAAGCACTTCAGGTGACGATGAAGCCCGTTCTGTAGGCAAGCGTGGCGTAGGCACCGTACTCAACAGTACAGCCGAAGCGTCACTAAGAGATTAGATCCCCGTCAACAGCCACTTATGTGTGATGCTGACCATAATGGGGGTTTTGGTGAATGGGAAAGTTCAACAATTGTGGAAGGGAAAGAATGCGATCTGTTGGTACGGTAACGCGGGAATCTGTGGAGCCAACCGCCAACACCTCGATCAAAGAGTGCATAGTTTCTGAGAAAAATTTGGAAATCTATACCATATTTGTTCATAGGTTGTATAGGTATGTCACTTCCCGGTTGCCCTGACCGAAGAACAGAGACAACCTCGGGGGTCCCCACCGGAAGCCTTTGGCTAGAAAGCCAAACCTGCAAGACAACAGAACGGAGCTCAGAGTCCGCAGACCATTGGGGGCCGGTGTAGGATCATACGCCCTTCAGGCGAGGTCCAACGTCCAGGGTACTCAATACACCTCTGTCCAATTGAGCCGGTGACCAGTATCATGACTATAAAGTGTATGATTTTCACGCCTCTTGTTGGTTGGTTTGGAATCAGGGCTTTTAGCCAACTCCCCTAGGTGAACTGCAAGTGGTTTGCCGACCCGGTTTTAGTCCCAGATTTCGGCTTTTCATCCTCTCACTTTGGTGGGAAAACCTCCACCATAAGAAGGCAATGAGTAGAGCTTCCTCAGCAGAGGCTATTTAAGACGCTTGGTCATATAGAAGCATTTGCTGAGGTGCGTAACCAGCCGACACCCGAAGCGACCAACCTCAACCATACTGCTGATTTCGGAGAATATATATATGTCTCATTCAGAGACTCACGCTTACTGAAGCGGCCCCTGAATAAATTTATCATATCTTACCTTGTCTATCACGTATCAAGTGTTTTACATGAAATGAGGGATCGAAGTATACACCTGTACTGATGAACTACGAAAGGATAGCTGACCTAAGGAGACGGCAAACCCTGGTCCATGAACACTGGCCACAGACAACAGGACGTACCGAACACCAGCAATCCGCAAAATGCGTCGCTAATTCATCGGTAATCTGACACCCTTGGCCTACACTACATCAAAGCCATGTTTTGGTTGGGAATCCCATGGAAATCCGCTTACTCCGATGTGAACAACTGAGTATAATTGCACCTCAAGACATTCACAATGAAGTACTGGCTATAAACATTCTTGCATAGATTGGCATGATTTGTGTTCGGTGACGCAAACACCCACGTACTCAAAGTAAGCAAGCGAAAAAACATTGCAAAATCAAAAGATTAGACAAGCAAAATAAGTCAGATGGTTTCTCACTACTCAGTTCGGGTTGCTGCCACTCAATGTATCGGTGAAATTACTCTTCAAATAGTGATTAGTGATTACGACTAAACACACCTCGAGAAATTGTGCAACGACCTTGAATTCTGGCACAGGTTCATGCCTGGCTGCTGCTTGAGCACGACGATTGGCTACGCTCGCAAACAAATACTGCACAGCACGCGGTATAATTCCGGCGTCCGAATGCCCAGTTCCGAGCTCGAAACCGGTTCCCATGGTATACGTTTTACCAGAACCAGTCTGTCCATAAGCAAGTATAGTTGCATTATAACCATCCATGCAACTAAAAACATAACTTCTTTAACAAAAATCTATTACCCGTCGATCAAGGGCTTAGCAAGCATCTGAAAAATTTGGTCTTGTGTAGAATTTGTACTGAAGACATAATCGAAAGTAAAGCAAGAATCCTTCCCCAATATAATCTGAGGGGCATTAGGGGCCACAGATGTGCAAATTTGGTTCATCGATAATTTCTCTTTAGCGCTTTGCGGCCTTATCCTAAAACAAATTGCATTCTGCGAAAGTAAAAAAAATCTCACCTGACGGCCACGTTAACAGAAGTAGCATCATTCTCTAGACAATTATTAGTTACTGCCATTGTATTATTATTCAGAACCAAATACAACAGGCCCAAAAGATCATAAATACGAAAATTTCAAGGACAAAAGGAACAAATTGCAATCAGCCCAAAGGATTCAATCTGCGCGCAAAAATCGGCGATACAAAATTCGACCTTGCCGGGTTGCGCAGAGTTCATTTTTGCGGGAATCAGTTCAGTTCAGTTTGCACAGGACGACATGTGGCCCGGGATAATCTTGCGTCTAGATTGATGTGTTGTTGGCTGATCTTGTGACTTCCAACATTGCTGTAGCTGTTTTTCAACCGACAGTTTCGCAACGGCAGTTTTATTCTTGCCTCTTGTTCAGTTCAGTTCAGTATGCACAGGACAAATTTGGCTTCCAGCCAATCGAGCGTCCAGATTATTGTGCTGTTGGCGGGTGTTTGTAGCTTCCAACACTGCATACTGCCGATTCCAGCGATGGACCGTTGGTCTACTTGTTTCTGTCCTCAGTATACGTTCCCAGCAGGGTGTTTCTGAAAAAAGACAAATGAGACTCAGCGGTCTAGGCCTGGGCCAAGCTGCCATAGGTTGGTATGGATGACCCTGATCCTGACCACTGAAACCTGGCGGAATCGTCATAAAATGTAAATGTTGGCACCTGGTAGATTCACATAAAATACCTAACAGAAAACACTTTCTCTAGCATACATTCACATCTGTAACGTCAAACATTACCGGCTACCTTCTTACTTCTCACTAGGCCGCCAACACTCATCCAGTGCGGTCTTGCATGCTACGACAGTGCTACGTCTAACCACGTGTTCTGGTAGCCTATTCCACAGTGGCATCACCCTGTTGGTGAAGAATCTTGCCCGGAGTTGCAGCCTACTGTGATGACGCTCGAGTCTAAAGCTATGCCCCCTGGTCCCACTTTCCGGGATCGCAGAGAATAGTTCCTCGCTTTTGATGCCCGACAGACCGTTCATTATTTTGAACGTTTCAATTAAGTCACCCCTCATGCGTCTGCGCCAAGGGGAAAACAAGTTCATGTACTTAAGTCTGTCGTCGTAATCCTTGTGGTTCTGACCACATACCATTCGGACTCTTTCCAAGCAATCTAGGTCCTTCTGTAATTATGGTGCCCATGCCTGGACACAATACTCCAGATGTGGCCGGACGATAGCCTTATACAGCGGGACCAGAACCTGCGGGTTTCTGCAAGGCATCGTAGCCCTTATCCTAAAGAGTTCGCCCCTAGCCTTATTAGCCGACGCTATGCACTGCCTGGAGGGTTGAAGTCCCTAGAGACCACCACCCCTAGGTCATTGGCATGCGTAACCTCCATCAACTGCCCTATCTGATCAGGGATGTCGGCCCTTCTTGCCCCTAACCGTTGACATTTGGCTAGGTTTAGCGGCAGTTCCCACTCATATGACTAGGATAGTATAGCTTCAATGTCCTCATCCAGGTCTGCGCCGGCCACTTTCATATCGTCAGCAAACAGGTAGCACGGGTTCCGCAGCCCCGACGATAGGTTGTTTATGAAGATGGGGAAGAGTAATGGGCCCAGTACAGATCCCTGGGGTACACCAATGATTACATCTGCTGGATCTGTAGTGCACGTGCCAACTCTTAGTCTGAAAGTTCTCCCCCTGAGAAAGTTATTCACCCAGGTCCTGGCCTTCCCTGTAATGCCTACTGTCTGCATCGTGTGGTCCTAGTATCTATATTTGACTGAGTCGAAAGTCCTACTGAAGTCCATGTAACAGACTTCCACGGTAGGGCCTTCGTCGAGTCTCCTGGTCACGTCGTCTAGTAATAGCAGCAAATTAGTCAGACAGGACTTGCCTATCACAAATCCATGCTGCGCGGGTGTTATGATGTTGTGCACCACGAAATGCTCATATAATTTTCGCCTCACGATGCGTCCTAGGCATTTGCATAGGACTGACTGGCCTATAATTCATGGGCTTTTGCCTGGGGCCACCCTTGTACATACCCACCATTGTTGCCGTCTTCCATTGTCCAGGAAGGTTTCCCTCCCTGAGTGAGGCCGTGTAAAGCAGCATCACCGGTAGAGCTAGAACTTCGGCCAGTGTTTCAACTACGGCTGGATGGATTCCATCTGGCCCAGCAGCTTTGTATTTACACAGGGTATGTAGCTCTCCCATGACACTTTCTTCGTTTACCCACAGCTCAAATAAACCCGTGAGCTATAGTCTCTCCGCCAGTTCGGGTCATCCTGGGTCTCAAGTGGTAGGCGATATATCCCCCTGTACGCCTCCAGGAGTGTCCTGGCCTCTTTCCGGTCTGTCAGTGCCAGTTGGCCATCCGGACCTTCTAACGCAGCCACAGTTTCCCTCGTTCTCTTTTTGGATTGTACGTAGGCATAGAATCCCTTTGGGTTCGCCTTTGCTGACCTGGCTAACCTACACTCGAAACGGAACTTCTCTTGTCTTTGAACAGTTTGGGCTTTATTACGGGCCTGTTTACAGCTCTCATATGCCTGGCTGGTGCGATACGTGACGTGCGCTACCCATCTTTTCCTCCGGGTGTCTACTGCCCTCTTCACTCTTGGCCGCCACCACGGAAGCTACCGTTGTTCTCTGAATGGCCTAAGCAGTACGAACTCCGCTATTAGCCTCAGCAGTCCGTTTTTGACTGCTTCCTATCTTTCCTCTAGGGCAGGGGCAGGGTGGTTGGGCATCCAGGTCATCGTTGCCGCTGCCGTTTTCATTTTTGCCATCCGTGGCTTGCCATAACACCTAATGGAGGCTGCTGGGGATAATACTTTGTGTATGGAAGGTAAAGCCTTCATCACTACGATCACTTTTGTCCAGAGGTACCTCCGTTCTTAATTCACTAATATCCTTTTCGCATTTTGTGATCAATAGATCTAGTATTGAGGGCGATTGACCCCCTCGGTGTCTCGTTGGCATCGTAACATGTTGAATCAGTCCGTATAGTTGCACCCATTGTAGGAATGCTTCATCCGTGGATCCTCTGGGCACTCTGCCAGCCTCCCAGTTGATGGCTCGAAAGTTAAAGTCACCCACAATAACGAACTCCCTAGTTCCAGCGAGCACCGTTTGCAGTACTATCTCAATAGTTTGTCATTCTCCTGTCCACTGGCTAGGGGGGCTCGGTAGACATTCAATACACACTATTTTTTTGTCAAAATTTACGGAACAAGACGAGACCTGGATGTTGTTAGAATCCATTTTAAACGGAGCCTCCCAATTTCCATGATTTTGATGTACTAGGATGGCAGCCCCGTCCCCTATTCTTCCATTCGTCCTGTCCCGACTGTAGGTTATGTAGCTCGCGATCTGTGCAGCTGCATTACTAGGACTCCACTAGGTTTCGGTGATGACAGCTACCGCACACCCTATTACTCTGGTGGCCAATTCCCCTCATTTTCCTTGGATGCTGCGAGCATTTGTGTACCAAATCTGTGGTTCACTCGCTTGCATTTCATGTCCCACCACGACTGTTTTTTCAATTGTGCCCTCGGACGTAGGGTCCGAAGGATTGAATGGTATTTTGACCCGGCTGTTGCAGCTACAACGGTATCCTCGAGGTTCCACGAGGCACCCTGGGTCGAATACCTAAAATCCTTGCAGGTGAGTCCGAAGTCTAGCCTGCTGCCCTCTGGCCTTNTCTGGCCTTGAAACTGGCTTCTGGTCTATATTACGGATCTGTTTTTGGCTGCCTATCACGGTTGCCCAGCTCCTGTTCTTTGGAGTACCAACCGAGTCTTTATTCACAAGTTGCTCGCAGATCCCCTGCTTGTGTGGCCCGTATCCTCGGCCCACAGTTCCGCTGGAGATGCTGTGTGATTCAGCTTCCTTCACGCCGTTACTGCTGGGTTTAGGGGCATTAGGAGCCTTTTGTTTGCTTTTTATTTCTTTCGACTTCGATGCTCTTGGCGGTACCTTCAGAATAGACCTGCCTAGTGGAACCATGACCTGCTCCTTCAAGGGTCAGTGTTCCGTTACTTTCTCAACTTTTGATATTTTTAACTCAAGTTGTTTGCCCCCATTCTAACCTTCTTATTTGAGCCGACGTTCGATGTCATTCGTGACATTAGGTGCGGCGGGCCATTTGATGGGACGCTGACTCGGCCGTCGGTTTGTATTTTGATCGTACCCGCTCTAGATAACAGTTAATCCCTTCAATACATGGTAGGGAACATTATCATTATTGGCCTCGGCAGCCCTTGTTCCACAGCTCGCCGAAGAACCACGCAGTGAAACTTGATGATAGGGACTGTCTCGGGCAATACGGCCATTCTAATTATATCTCTTACACGGCGACCATCCCTCTCTTGCCTGATTTTACGGTTGCTGACGACTGGTTCGCGGCAGTTGTGCAGCAGCAGGCGTCTGTTATCTAGCCCCTGGAGTTTGACACTCTTGATCTCTGCCTCCAATTGCCGAACTCTTTTCTTCAGTGTTGCCAGCTCTACTGTGAGCGTATCGTCAACTGCCTTTCCCACTCGTCCTGTTCCTTGCTTTGGTTGCGCGAGCCTCATTGATGCGATTTTCACCTTTTCCCACACTTCCTCGCATTATTGAACACAGCGTCGTTACCTTGGAGTCCCTTTACGGGGGAGTTTCTTCTCGCATCTGGTCTATCCGTTAAAGAACAGTTCAGACAATCCCGGAGGATTCGTGAGCATTCATCTGCAAGGACAGTGCAATGCCGACAGATCCAT